TCAGCGAGAGTACCCTGGACAAGGGTTCCGGTTTCTGAGGTTTGGTTTTCGACGACCGGCGCCCACGGGAACATTCGGAGAGCTCCACCGGCGGTCCAGTACCTCTGGCAGCCCTTGCAGAAGTGCCTAGGCTGGTTAACGTTGTAATATTGAAATACAAAACTTGGTCTCCATACTCTTGCATCTGGGACAAGGAATGATCTTATCTGGCCTCTTTTCAACCGTCTGATCAGCTTTTCTTTCTTCTTCTTCTTCCTTTACCACTTGCCTGCGATGCAGCGTGATTGTGGTCCCAAAAAGCTTGATGCCTTGTGCTTCTTGGCTAGCCGCCATAGAAACAGATATAGAAGATGCAGAGAGTAGTTAAACAGAGTTTTAAGTTGATGGGTTAGCTTTTAAAGAGAAACAGAGAGATGTGTGTGAATACATATATATGTACACACACACACACACATATATTTAATGTTTCTCTCCGTCTGGAATCATGAGGACTCATTAAACAAAATTCAATTTAGTATTCCAGTCCCACCATTATAATAATAAACTAACCTCAATCAGACATATATATATATATGTATTCAGACAGAAGTATAAGTAAATGTTTATCTTTAAAGAAAGAAAGGGAAGGATTTATTTATTTAAAAAATTAAAAAAAAAAAACAGTAGTTAGAGAGAGCCGCCAAGAAATAATTCGGTGGCGTGGAAAAGCTGAGGATGAGCTTTTTGTCCACATCATTACTCCACGTCACCATCAGGAAATTAGGGTTTGTTTATAAAGTCTATATGTGTGGGTCCCAATCCAAGTAGGTCGCGTACAAAGTGTCAAAGCCGAATTAAAAATTTCAATTAATTGTAATTAATATTCAACTTAAACATAAATAAATAATTATTTTCTATCATATATTATAAAAGAGAAGCTTAATCATAAAAGATTATCTGTTTTTGCTTTTGAAAAAACCCTTTTGGTTTTTTTATTTTTATTTATTGAACATGATCAAAGTATACAAAGGAAGAAAGCTAATCTTATTGGCCGAATAATAATTAGCAGCATTAAAAAAATTGTGATAATTGTGTATATATATATATATAAAGGGAAATTAAATTAAAAGGGGAATAGTTCTGAAATTTTAGATATAAGGAAAAAGAAATTGAAATGATGTGAGGTTAATCTAAATTGGATGGTTAATCTGAAAATGCATGGGGCATTAGGTGCTCTTACAAAAGCTTCTTCATAAAAAGGAAAGTAATATTCAGAATATAATGCTTTCTATCAGTACTCTTATGTCCAATTGTATGCTATTCTTGTTTCCTATCAGGGAGATATACATATACATATACATATATATACATGTGTTGTGCATTCGTATACACAAATTAATTACTTTGATTTATTAAACAAGAATGAAATCAATAATATTAAATGTAAGAAATTAAGTACAGTTCATGTTGGATGCTGTTTATGGTATTGGGTATTACTTTTTGTTCATCTTTTTCATGTTTCAATGTATCTGATCATGATAGACTTTACTTTTTAGTTTGTTGCAAGTGCAGAAAACTTTTTCATTTAGTTAATTAATTAATCTTCTTTTTAATGACGGGAATAATAATCTTATCAATTTGATCATTGATTAAAGCAATTCACCCAAATATATAATATAGACAAAGGAGCATTTTCGTTGCTTTTGCATGCAAAGTTGTGTGATATATATATATATATATATATATATATATATATATGCACTTTTTTAAAAAAAAAAAAAAAAAAACCTTCATATGCTTTGGAAAGTCTATTTTCCATGTATATATATATAGAAGAATATAAAGTGATCACATGGTTGCATCCACTGCAGTTTCAATTCTCACCAACTGGGGTACCACCAGATTGAGATTGATCATATTAACTACGCTATCTGCCTCTCAGAGAACAAACAGTGAAGAAAATCACATCTGATTAGGTAAATTTTGTCTTAATTACCACCATATATTTTCTTAATAACAAATATACATATATAGATATACTTATTCTCCAACTATATTTTTTAAACTACTACACATATACGTATATGCACAAGGGCAAACTACTAATAACATGTGATTTAAAGTTATTTTTAATTGGATGAATGTTAGTAATTAAATTCTAAATACTAAATTGTTTCTAGTAATATTTTTAAATATTTAAATTAGTTTATGTAGTAAAATATTGTTACTTAAAAAAATATATATTTACTAGTTTATCTACTTTTTAATTTTTTTTAAAATTTCTTTAATTTTTCTTAAAAATAATTATATATATGTGTACGTATATATATATATGTAATTTCCCCATATTTCTTTTATGTGTATAGTGTTTGTGTGTGTGTATATAAACACGTGTTAAATTACTTTTCACACAAAAAACTTATAAATAAATATGAATCACGATGTGGAATATATATATATATATATATATATATATATATATAAGCAGCAACGTGATTCCTGGCTGTAGAGTCAAGAGTTTTTCTTTGTGAAGGTGTGTGTTGGACGGTATTTTTGTAGCAAAATTAATTTAATTAAAATACTACTATTAATTTTTCTTCTTAATATTTACTTTTAATTAATTATATAATTATGTCACATATAACTTTAATCAAAGACAGATTTTTATCTTCTCTACTTTTTACGTGATTAATTATTTGTTTTATTGTAAACTATGTAAAAGTGAAAAAGTAAAGAAATGATTATCATCATAATTAATCATTATAATTAATTAAGACTTTCCTAATAAAGAAGAGAGGGGAACAGGACGACCCACATATCCAATTCTCAATGGGGCATGTTGATTAATTACTACTTAATCGGATTAATAAATTACAAGTTAGTTGGCTAATTTTTGTTTCACTAATTTTAATAATTTATTATAAAGAATTAATATTATAAAATTACTAGATTAAAGTATGAGACGTTAATTTAGATATTATGGTGCATGCTTAATTAGCAAGTTGCTTTAACAAAATTGAAGCACGAAAGTCATTAATTATTAATTTTATTATTTTAATTATTATATTGAACAGGAGTTAATTTTTAATTTTTTTAATTTCCCCTTTTTCAAATCAGTGCAAGTTGGAATCCCAATATGGTATTCCAGCTATATGAAGAGATATATTCTGAGCATAATATAGCCTTTTCGCAACATGCATTTTTTTAATTTGTGTGTCTCGTGAACCTATTAATTTAATATTTGGAATTCAGTAAATTTTGTTTTTTTTTAATAAAAATAAATAAACCAATTTTAGTCGGATGTTAAAAATCTTAAAATTGAATTCTAAACATATTTAATAATTATGTAGGGGCTATAAATTAAAGATAGGAGTCACGGTTATAATGATAGTCAAATATTAAGAACTAAATATTACTATTATATTAATAATTATTATTTTCTGTTACATAATTCACAAAGGGTAATATATATATATACATATACATGTATATATAAGCTCCAACATGGGGGAGAGAAAGCTTTTCTTGTTTGACATGATATGTGGATGTTGTGGTTCAACTTTGACAAAAGAAAATCTAAATTAAGAGGAGTTCTGGTAATTTATCATTTGGGGGCAATGCTGATTTCAAATGGTCATTTCACAAATACGTAACTAGGCATCTAATGTACTTTGGAAATATAGATACATGCATATATATATATATATATATATATAGCGGGATTGTAGTGTCCCACAACACCTTTATTTCTTAGCTATGGGAGTAAAAGCTATCTAACCAACTTATCTTTGAAAGTCTTTCAAATTTTATTCTCATTACATATTATATATATATATAGCTTCTACGGATACAATGAAGCATGCAAGTTTTATAGTTCTATATTTTTAATACTAACACGACTTTATAATATCTTCGAGAATATAAATAATTATTAAATTATAATTCGTTGAGTATTTTATATTATAAAAAATTCATCTCATGAACGATCAAAGTAGAGTTTTTACGTTTGAACAAAATCAAATTTGATGTGAGATCTAACGGTCAAAAACTATTTGATTTCAAAAATTTATTTGGAGATCACTTAGACTCACCAACTTACTTGCATTATAAGTTTCCATCCTCACCCGCGACTACTTCTTCGTCCTTGAATTTTTCTCTAATCTTTTTCTGCTCTGTTATTTTTCATCAATTTCCTGTTGCAGACTCTAAGGATCCACTCTTGTGGCTGAAAACTTCAGTGAAGTTGCTGTCTCCTCCAATGGTGATCGATTTGAACTGCCAACTCTTTTTTATATTTTTGTTTTTCGGAATAAATTATGTTATCCAAATTTTTGACAATTCTTCATCCTCCTAAAGCATGTTCTAACTAGGATTAGAAAGAATGCAAGTTGTTTCTATGAAATTCTAACAACAATGTTGTAGAATTGGCCTCATTAACTCTCTTATACATTAGCAAACACAAATAAAAGAAACATCCAAGACAATAATAGATTCTTTATATATATTTTTTGTATAGCAATAAGAGTATTACATGAACTTACAAGAAGAACAAAATTAATTCTGCAAAAACGTAGTTGTACTACAGGGTTTTATATATATGTATATATATTTATATGCAGGACAAATAATTAATGCCCTGATAAACAGTCGTACATTAATGATTCATTTTAATAAGTAAACAAAAGATGAGGCCAAAAAGAAATTTTGGAAAGAATACAACTGCTTATTGAAGTGGTAAATGAAGGAATGAATATTAATTGTTAAAAATGAGATTATATATTGATCAGTTGTCCATCGGGACCCAATCCGAGTTCCTTGAATACTATAGGGCAGTCAGCCAGAGGTTCCTTCCTCATGAAACCCAGAGGATTAACAATGCGTGTCTCGTTGGTAGCAATTCCATCATTTGCTGTCAAACTGATTCTAGCAGCATTTCTCAAATATTCGTCGTGGCTTACCTCGCTGCATTCTGGATCTGGTGATTTCGCCAGTACAATCTCACACAGTTCTTCCTCGTGGTCTCCCGTTACCTCCATGCTATACGCTCCGGCCAGATCTGTTACGGCTTCAACCGTTAGAGTTGTGTTTCCAGTTTCGCGGTGCTTACACTCCAATCGCACAGTTGCGCCTGCAAATAACACATCAATCAGATCGAATTCAAAATTTTTACTATTGAATTAAAAAGCAATTGAAGTATTGAAATACCTTTCAAGTAGTTGCTGATACGAGTGAAGAATTGAACGCGACAGGTATCGCAATAAACAGATCCTTGAATAAGGAATCGATCAAAATCATCAGCATCTGCAGAGACGGAGCTAAGGAAGGACAAGAAGCAAAGAGCAGGGACAAGGAAGAGGATGAAAGCTTTGGAGGACTTTGCCATTGTTTCCCTGTATAGAAATTTGAAAATTACAGATTTGTGTTGTTTCAAGAGGGAGGACTGTGTGGAATGAAGGAAGAGAGGTATTTTTATAAGGGAGAATTTCAAAGTTATTTTTGGAATGTTTGTTGTGTTTGTTATTTTTTGTGAGGTTCTAATTTCTTCCTCCTCAGGTGTTCAAATATAAACCCTTTTTTGATCCACTTTTCTCTCTCCCCCTCTCTAATAATTCCCACTATATTATTAACATTTCAATTTACCTAATCATAGTTTATAAAATACAAAACCAATGTTTATATGGGCATGTATATATATATATATACATACATACATACATGTGTGTGTGTGTGTGTATGCATGCAGTCTAGGTTTTAGGTTTGCATAAAGAAAGTGTAAATATATGTGTCATACCAAGATCACAATATTTTCTAAAGGTCAAAATATGTTAAAAATTACATTGGATGTGATTGGTAACACCGACTTGTGACATAAATTATGGTATTTCATGTCACATTGAGGTCATAATTAGATTAGTCGTGGGATTGTGAATATATTAAGTAATTAGAGTATGAAAGTTGTGGAGATTTGGAAAAAAAACTAGTGGGAGAACATACTAATTAAAAATTATGTTATTGTGCATATTATTGTTTGTATATATAGCTCATATTTGTTTTATGTTTTAAGCAATGTGTACTAATTAAAAAAATAACTTTAATTAATTAATTAATTAATTAATAACAATAATAATAAGTCCTAAACACTTTTTTTAACCCAATAAACAAATAATGTAATTTTGGGCCGAAATGACAACGGATGGAGCCTTCGTAACATAAGAACTCAAGGGGAGGCCCAGTAATTTACCCAATTCGAGCCTATTTGAGTTGGACCGTATGATTTAGATGATTGAAATAGGGTGCAGAGGGAAAATGAACGTGCTGAAGCAGGGGATCCAAGCATAATATGTCGGAATTCAGAGGCTTTGAGCAGCTTCGATCTGGAATAAAGGTTGTTGCAGAAAACAAGAATACTGAAGAGCTCTGATTTTGCAGAGGAGGGTTGTATGGGAGTGAGTGCTGAAAGGGGTTAATCTTTGACTACGGAGATGATCGGGGAAAGGATATGATGAAAAAGGAGATTCTCTCTTTAATTTCTTAAAATTAAAACAGAGGATACAGGACGTTGGTTTGAAGAAAACGCCATCGGCATAGGATCATTTCGTCATCTTTGGTGAAATTGAGTGGTATATGGAGACTCCTCTCTCGAATCATTTGTGATCCGCTCTTTATGTAACACAAACTGAGTGGTATGACGTCGAATGCATTTTATGTTGTTGTTTCTTTCCTTTTTTGGTGCATTCAGATGATTTTTTCATTCAAATTAGGGAATTAATGGTGGGTTTTCAGTTGAGAAGCTATGGTGACTTGTGAGTTCATACCTAAACTGATGGGCAATGGGGCAATTTTCTATATATGGCCTAAATTTTTGAATTATCTCATAAATGACAGGTTGTTATTCTGTCCGGCAATGGAATTTTCATTTGTTTATCTACTTTTTCTTATGGCACAATGCTTTTTCTTTTTTTATGCTTTTTTTTAATGAATGTGGAAATATGTGGGTGCTATGATTATATATGCAAAATTTATCATGGGTATGCAGTTAGTTTGCTCCTCATCTAGTTAGGCTGCGGAGATTATCGTATTTGCTTAAGTATAAAAAAGAAGATGTTTGAGTAACATCAAATGCATTCCTTCATCTGAAAACCAGTTATTCTAACATCAGTTAAGTTCGTACTGCTGGGCTTTAACTTATTTCCGAACAGCCCTGATTTTAGTTAGATTATAAACTTTTCATAGAATTTTTCAATGAGGTTTGAATTAAAAATAAGTTAAAATCAATTTTCATCGATCTCCCGTGGTTGCTTTGATCTTTCTAAATGTGTTTACATAATAATCAGCAGCGAAGGTTTCGTTGAAAAAATGTACCCGCATTATGAGTTTTTGTTTTCTTTCTCTAAAGTTTTGAAGGATTGGTTGCGTAGGATCCATTAATTTTTTTTCAGTTTATTTTCCTTTAGGCTTTAATTCTTCTTGGCTGGTCTGTTGTTTCCTTATTTATTTGTTTATTTACTTTTTTTCTTAAATAAAAAGTATATAAAGTATATATTTGTTTATTTACTTATTCCTTTTTTACATTTGTTTAGCAGTTGGGCGTCAATGTTTTAGAAATCTTCATTAAGTTTAAATGTATCGCGTAGATTGCTTTCCTGTGAAAATCAATCCGTATTGTGTATGTCTCCCCTACCTACGATTTTTAATAATACTGTAAATTTGTTATCGTACTTAAGGGAAGCTCGCATGCACACTTGTACGATAGTTAGGCGACAAATAAATGAATGCTAATTTCAGTCATAATGAACTCATCCATGTCACAGGAACAGTCTCTTCACAGCTTCTCATTTTCTAGTTTTTTTTCCCAGATCCATTTTTTTTAAAAAATTGACTGGTACATATTTGGATGATGATCTGACCCTCAATTGGATTAGTGCGGCTTCTTAGACCCGTAAAGGTTTCAGTATCTCGTGATTTAACTGTTGTAGAAAGTGATTCATGTTTATATCATATATCTTTGCCTGTAATATCTTTTGGCTAAAAAGTACTGGTTGCTTGAGAGTAAAAGTTTTAACAAACAGTGGTTCCATGTAGGTTTTTCTAGCTGAAGTTTTCCGAAGATATACTTGAAGGGCAGGTTCCTCTTTACATTTCCATGGCGTCGAATATCCATGACATAGTTAATACAACTTTAAACTGGATAACATTTGCTTTGGATGCTCCCTCTGCTCGAGCTGTTGTATTTGGAGTGCATATAGGCGGTAAGTTTGTAACTGTTGAAGTCTTGGTGATATTTTCTTGCTTTTTGTTTGTCAATAAGGATATTGACTTCTTTTTGAACATCTGGTTATAGGGCATCTTTTTGTGGAGGTTCTTCTGCTGGTGGTCATCCTCTTCCTACTTTCCCAGAAAAGTTACAAGCCTCCTAAAAGGCCTTTAAGCAAGAAGGTTTATACAATAGCCCTGCCACTGACATTTTTGGTTTGTCCAACAATTGTTTTGTGCTCTGCTGGATATGTGTATATCATATTCTGGATTTTCAATCGTATCAAGATGTGTTGTTGACCTTGTAGTGGATATTTCAGTGAAGAGAAGGTATGTAAGAAAGACTGGTTGATCATAGTCTAGTGAAATACCTAGTAGTAGGTACAGCAGGGTGTGCCCGTACAGAAAAAAACATTTCTGCCAAGGTTCTGCTGTTTGAGATTTTTGAATTTATGCTCTCCCAACTTTTATTTTGTAAAGAATTTTTCAAAGTACAAACATGCTGTTTCTTTCTTTGTGTGTCTCCACGTAATAAGGTGTTTTCTACTTGCTGCATTCTCTGCCTGTACTTGTAGGCTTCTGACAAATCATCTCCCAGAGCAGCCTTTTTGGCCTGAGAAGTGGCAAGGAGTTGTTTCCTAACTATAAACAATTTGGTTAAGAGGAGAAACATCATCATGAATGGATGCTACTTGTATTTCCCCCCAAAAAAAAGAATGGATGCCACTTGTGCTAGGAAGCTGTAGATTCAGCCAACCACCTCATCTGTTGGTGTTGTGTTTTTTTTTTCATACTGACGTGTTTGACTTATAGTCTTATGTGGGTGAATTGGACTGTAACATGTTCGGTCAAAGAGGATATGTGGGCTTGGAAAGGCATCCATGGGGATAAACGCGATAATAAGAGCTTAGGCCTTCTCTCTTTGGCTACTGTATGGCTTATTTAGAAAGAAAGAAATAGAAGAACTTTTGAAGGCATATAATTGTCTTTCATTAGTGTCAATGATACTTGGTTCCAAGCCTTAGGTTTTTGGGTTAAGTTTCATTCTCTTCACACTTGTGAGGACTTAGAGGATCTAGTTGATATATTAAGAGACTTATAAAGTTTTTTGTATGTGGGTTGCATCCCTTTAGTGCTTTTTAGTACTTTACATTTTCTTTATAAAAAAATGTTTTTGACATAAACAGTGTTAAATTTGCTGGCTTTTTTGTGAGCAGAAAGAACTCTGCTTCTTTCAAGAAAAATCAGTCTTGAGTGTATAGACAGCACGGGGTGTTGCTTCAAATTGACAAGATCAAGCTTACTGATGCCTGTTTGGAGATGGACCTTTGTTAACTGTTTACTGGTTTTCACATACTTTTTGAGTTAAAGGTAAGGGCAGGTATGAAAAAAGAAAGTAGCAGCCGTGTATATGATTAAAGTGAGAGGTTTTATCGTTTGACATAGCTGTAATAGCAGCCAGACTAAAAAAGTTATAATGTGGTAATGGAATATAGGAATTACTTGTAATTATTGGACGATATATTTTGTAAGGATACAGTAACCTGGCATTGCTATGCATGTATAACATGGCTATGAAGTGTTCTTAGATTTAGTATATCTGATATTAGATGACATGTATTTTTTTCAGTGAAGTCAAAGCTAAGCAAGTAGTTGATTTTATTTCAGCAATTCTACTAGTTTCATGCATCTAGAACAAGCGCATTGTTCTATTAGTGTGAAAGAAGCATTTCAGTAAGTGTTTAGAATAACTAACTGCAGAATGAAGTAAGCAACAATTTCAGTGCGTACATGATAGCGTGAGAGGTCCAGTTGCCAATTAGTGTGGTATGTACTATTGTTGTTTTTCTTTTCCTGAAATATTGTGTTACGTCCTATTGCAAAATCTTATTACCAGATCATCAGTATGGACTTGCAACCCAAGGATCTCAAAGAGTCCTAAAAGCGTTTTAGAAGTTATTTTTCTTTTGATCTTTATTCCTTGACATAAAAACCTTCTAAGACCTTACTGAAAGAGACAAGAAACTGCTTATCTTAGTGCAACTGCTTCCTACATTTTAGCAGTTTTTGAACAAGAGACAGATTTAGCTGGCCTACATAATTGTTACTGACTAGACCTTAATAATATCTGGTTGAGCTGCTAGTACACTTAGCCACTAAATAGAACTATTTGGCTCACAAAATCTTATTGATATACTTTTGTTACGTGCACTTGTTGGCCCACGGTACATCTCTCTTCCTCAAAAATGAGTTCATCCCTGAGTGCAAAAGATGGGCTAACAGGGAACGAATTGGCCTCAAATTAACCTCTACAAAACATCTGCAGGCATAATGTGATGTCTCAAGTTTGAAGATCGCCCTTAGTAGATGGAGTGAAAGCTATGATGAACCGTAGATGAGGGAAATTGCTAAGTAAGTTTATTAATGTCTCGTGTCTGGGGTCAGGTGACAAGTCGTGTTAGAGAAATCTTGCAGCAAGCATGAGGCTTGCTTGCGCTGTTCTTGCCCTTGTCAGCCTATGGTTGAGACTTGGAGAATCTTGGATATTGTTATAGATGCAAATATGCAAGGTGTAGCAAGAACAAGAAATTGACATTCAATTAAATATGGAATCTTAATTAGTATTAAATTTCTGAATAATTAGAGTTTTAATTAGTATTAGATTTTTAAATAATATATATATATATATTTCATTAATATTTGATTTCTAAATAGTGTTAGATTTTCAATATTTTATTAGAGTATTTCTAATTAGATTTAGATTTCAAATTAGATTAATATTTTTAAATAAAAATTTAAATATTTATAAAAAAGGGAATGCTTGTTATTAATAAAATAAGTTAGAATATTATTTTAAAGTACGAGATTGAAGCTCTCTTTTACGAGATCTAAGGTAGTAGTTCCTTTTGATGAGTTATAATCTATTTTTAAAATAGGCCGCTCAAAAAATCACAACAAGGAGAAGAGACAGATTATGGAATGAGAAATTTCAAATAATCACCTAGTGACAAGATCTTGATCTCGGGAACATAACAAATTAGTATCAGAGCCTAACACAATGGACGACTCTGCAATAATGGAA